GCTGGGTCCCTGTGTTGGGGCTATTTGAAATGCTTTTCTCAGAAAAAAGCTCTAACATTCCTCAGCTGGATGGCCAAGGACTTTTCTGAATGAGGTCATGCCCTATCCTTCCTTTTCCCTCTCTCCTCAGCTCAACCCAATGGTGCCTCTCCAGGCTTAACTGTGTTGTGCTGCTGATTTTCATTGAATGGCAGAATTGTTGAGGCTGGAAAAGACCTCTGAGATCATCAAATCCAGCCTATGCCCCAACATTATGGCAATGGCTAGACCATGGCACTAAGTGCCACATCCACCCTTTCCTTAAACCCCTCCAGGAATGGTGTTTCCACCACACCTCTGGGCAGTGCATCCCAATGCCTGAGCACCCTCTCCAGGAGGAAGGGCTTCCTGATATCCAACCTAAACCTCTGATCCAGTTTCAGGCTGTGCCCTCTCATCCTATCACTGGTTGCCTGGGAGAAGAGCCCGGCCCCCACCTGACTACAAATTCCCTTCAGGGAAGTTGTAGAGAGTGAGAAGGTCCCCCCCGAGTCTCCTCTTCTCCAGGCTAAACCTGAGTCTCCTCTTCTCCAGGTTAAACCCCCCCAGCTCCCTCAGCCTCTCCTCACAGGACTTGCCCTCTAGTCCCTTCCCCAGCCTCGTTGCTCTCCTCTGGACCCACTCCAGCACCTCAATAACTTTCTTGAGATGAGGGACCCAGAACTGCACACAGGGCTCGAAGTGAGGCCTCCCCAGTGCTGAGCACAGGGGCAGAATTACATCCCTGCTCCTGCTGGTCACACTGCTTCCGATACAAGTCAGCATGACGTTGGCCTTCCAGGCCACCTGGGCTCACTGATGGCTCATGTTCAACTGGTTGTCAACCAGGTCCCTCTCTGCTGGGCCACTCACCAGCCACTCCTCCCCTAGCTGGTGGCACTGCAGGAGGTTATTGTGGCCAAAGTTTAGGACCCTGCACTTGGTCTTATTGAACTTCATACTGTTGGCCTCAGCCCATCGACCCAGTCTGTCCAGGTGCCTCTGCAGCGTCTTCTTACTCCCCGTCATATCGACACTCCCCCTCAGCTTGGTGTCATACATGAGTTTACTAAGGGTAGACTCAATCCCCTCATCCAGGTTGTCAATAAAGATACCGAACAGGACTGGGCCCAATATCAATCCCTGGGGGACGCCACTGGTCACCGGACCCCATCCTACCTAACACTGCCCTCAGGAAAAATTCTTGCCATTTTTAACTCACGTATTGTCTGTGCACTCTCTGAGTACAGAAACAATGCTGTGGGCACTCCCGGCGCTTTGTCCTTTCCCAGAATGGTCTAGCTTTGTTGTGATTGTTTCTGGGTGTCCTCAAAAGGGTCTATAGTTGGCTCTGCTCCTGTGCATGTACCTGTCCTGTGTGTTTTTGTTTGTGTGAGTGCTCATAGGTGCAAAAATATGGCCATGGTTCCTCACAGGTGTGCATGAGCATGTGTATGTCCTTTTGTGCCCCTCCTGAGGAATGAACGGTGTTGCTTGTGGCGGGGACAATCTCCACTGCTCTGTCAGGAGCATTGAGGAGCAGCAATTTCACAGTGCCAACAGGAGCCAAAGTCCACTGAATGGTGATCGTATTAGTCTGCTAGAGATCTGTCCAGGGAAGGGGTCCATGCCTCCTTAACCATCCTTCTCCTGCCTCTCCACAGCTCATGCTCTGCTTTGACAATTCCTGGCCTGAGAAGCTTCCTCTTCAGATCAGTTAGGATTCTGTGTCTAATTCAGGATGCCAGCCAGTCCCCCTCCTCCCTGCCTCTCCAGGCCTTCCACTTCTAATTCTTTCCTACAGTGTGACAGAACCCATCCATAAACAGACATATTGCTTCTCATTTTCTGGGAATTTATCATGTGGTGGGGCCTCTTTGACATGTATCACCTATGGTCATTGCAGATTCAGAGCATTGTCTCAGCTGGAAAAGATCATTAAGTCCAGTTGTTAACCTAGCACTGTCAGCTCCAACACTAGACCATGTCCCTGAGCACTTCATCTACATGTCTTCTAAGTATCTCCAGGGGTAGTGACTCTACCAGTTCCCTGGGAAGCCTATTCCAGCGCTTAGGCAATCTTTCCAGTGAGGGATATTTTCCTAATTTCCAATCTAAACCTCCCCTGGTGCAACTTGAAGCCATTTTCTCTTGCCCTATTCCTTGTTACATGGGAGAAGACACTGGCCCTACCTTAATACAAACTCCTTTCAGGTAGTTGTAGAGAGTGATAAACTCTCCCCCGAGCCTCTCTTTCGCCGGGCTAACAAACTCAATTTCCTCAGCTGCTCTCATAATACTTTTTCTCAAGACCTTTCAACAGCTTTGTTGCCCTTCTCTGGAAGCACCTCAGTGTCTTTTTTTGTCATGATGGCCCCAAAACTCAACATAGGATTCGAGGTGTGGCCTCACCAGTGCTGAGGACAGGGGAACAGACATTGCCCTGGTCCTGCTGGCCACACTATTTCTGATACAGTCCAGGATGTCATGGTCTTCTTGGCCACTTTGGAAAACTATTGGCTCATCTTCAGTCAGCTGTTGACCAACACTCCCAGGCCCTTTTCAGCTGAGCAGGTTTACACCACTCATGCCCAAGCCTGTGGGATTTCATGGAGTTGTTGTGATGCAGGTGCAGGACCCAGCACTTGACCTTGTTGAACCTCTGCCCATCAACCCAGCCTGTCCAGGTCTCTCTGTAGAGTCTTCGTACCTTCAAGTATATCTACATTCCCATCCAGCTTTGTGTTGTGCCCGACGGTGTGTACCCTGTGCCTTCAGGAGAAGCTCACAGGTCCTGCTGAGCACAGAACCAGGTCTGGCTCTCACTAACAGGTCTCTGTGGAGCTGGGGTTATTTGCCCTCACACAGCTCCTTTCCTGACCGCAGCTGGGTTTTGGCACTTGTGGGACCATTATGTCCCTGGGCCTCAGGAAAGCTGCTCTATGCTTGAGGGTGACAAGGCAGAACAGAGCAGTGGTGTGTGTTTGGCCACCAGTCAGTGTTCTGCGGCTGCCGTCAGCTAAGTGAGTGCTAGGTTCAGAGGGAAAGGGACCTTCAGTGTGTGGCCTGCTGTAGCTGATGCCATGTGGTGGATTGATCCTGGTTGGCTACCAGGTGCCCATCAAAACTGCTCTATCACTTCCCCTCCTCAGCAGAACATTGGAGAGAAAAATATAATGAATATCTCACAGGTTGAGATAAGGACAGGGAGATCACTCAGCAGTTACTGTCTGTGTGGGCTGAAATAGGCAGGAACAACCACAGACCACGGCTGAAGTGCAAAGAGTAGATTTATTCTTGCTACCTGGGAATCTGGAGAATCCTTGCAGCAGCACCCAGATGGAGGCACACAGGCAGTGATCACACAGGCAGCATGTCAAGTGGAAGCGCAGGCATAAGGAGATCTCTCCTTGCTAGAAAGCACGTGATATTTATCCCACGGCTTCACTATGGTTACTTGCTGCTCTGCCTGAGTTCCCAGGACTCACATGACAGCTTTGCAGGCCAGGAACGTGAGAGATGCCCCCGCATCTATCCCAGGTCTCTGTTATCTGTGTACAGGTGTGCTACTCATCAAGCACACAAGGCCAAGCAGTAATCTAGTGTGAGTATGTGTTTTCCAGCACCTCAGGTGCAAGTTGCTTGAGCATACCCACAGTCCTTCTCATCAATTTTCCATTACAACTCTACACTGTCATGGGCAACCTAGACTCAGCTTTGGGAAACTAGTGTGATTTATTACCAATCAACTGAGAGAAAGGCAACGAGAAATAATCCAAGTCTTAAAACTACCTTCCTCATACCGCACCCTTCTCCCTGTGCTTAGCTTTATTATTGATACCTCCACCTCTTCCCCTTGAGTGACGCAGGGTGATGGGGGATGGAGTTGGTGGTCAGTTCATCATATATTTTCTCTGCCACTCCTTCCTTACCATGGGGAGCACTTCTCACATGCTTCCCCCTCTCCACTGTGAGGTTCCTTAAACAGGAGACTGTTCTTCAGAAAACTCTCAAATGTGAGTCCCTCATACTGGGCTACAGTCCTGCCAGCAAACCTGCTCCAGTGTAGCCTCCAGTCTCCATGGGTCCGCAGGAGTCTGCACCAGGATGGACTTTCACAGGATCACAATCTCATTCAGGCATCAACCTGCTCTGCCGTGGAGTCTTCCACAG